TTTTCGTTTATAACCTACATATTTAGGATGAGATGAAAAAACAGTAACCAACTTCAGACTTATGTCATTTCTAAGCCACTCGTCCGACAGCTGTTAAAATTATTCCAGTAACAGCTCATTATATTGTTTACAAGCGTACAAAAGTATTTTGGTGCGAAAATTCCTGAAAAAAGTTATTCGTGATGGAATAGTATAGCGTAATAGTGTGACTTCTTTATATTTGGCTGGAAAACCACATGTGGCTATCGTTAGAGCGTTCCAGCATTTAAATGTGAATAAATCTTTTGTATCTCATACTTTCGCACGTTACCGTGATACTGGTAGCGCAGCCCGACGTCAAGGAAATGGACGAAAGAAAACACCAACATCAGCAGAAATAGTTCGAAAAGTAAAGATGCGACTTGATCGAAACTCGCGTCGCAGTGACCGAAAAATGGTTCGTGAGCTGAACATATCGCAATATTCCATTCGGAAAATATTGAAAAATGAGCTCGGGGTAAAGCCATTGAAATTCCAAAAAGTACAAGAACTTACACCGCAACAGAAAAAAAAATAGACTCAAAAGAGCTAACGAGGTGCTTCGCTTGGCCGAAAGTGATAAACTGCCGAATTTCGTTTTCTCCGATGAGAAAACGTACATTGTTTAGCAGTTTGTAAACAAACAAAATGTTTGTGTTTACTTGCCAAGGAGGTCAGCTGAAAATGTGCACTTTCGGTTGGCCACCAGAACTCAAGCGGCGGCCATGGTCATGGTGTGGGCCGTCACCGCCTGTTATGATGGTTGCCATAACCCTCCGCTCGTAATTATCGTCCGTGGTATCAGAATAAATGCCGAATATTATTGGGAAAATATTCTGGAGGGTGTATTAAAGCCTTGGGCACGCAAATATTTTGGCCGCAGACCTTGGACATTCCAACAGGACTCAGCACGCGCTATCCAAGAATGGTTACAAAATGAAGTTCTTCTCTTCATTTTAAGCTCACAATGGCCACCAAAATCTCCGGATACCAATCCGTTGGACTTTTGTGTTTGGAGTATTTTGGAAAGTTAGGTTGGCACTAAAAATACCAAATTATAGATCTCCTCAAGCAAGCGCTTCGCCCGGAATGGGTCGAAATACCGCAGAGCAAAATTCGGGCAGCGTGTGACGGTTTATTGGCCGTTTGAAGGCCATAATTCGTGCCAAAGGTGATCAATTTGAACAAATCTAAACTTATTCTAAAAGTTGATGCTATTTGCGACATTTTTTGCTTTCATTCAATAAAATTTAAAAAAAAAAATGTAAAAATGATGGCATTTGATTTTGTTTACGTTTTTTTTATTTCACCCTGTATTCTCTCTTCCGTTGCAGTTCTCTCTTTCTCTCTTTTAGAATATTTAACATTTGTTTCCATGCCGATATATCTTTTTCACTTACAGTCAGAAGTAGTGATAGCTGATACCAACTCACCGAAATGTCACTCCCAGTGGGCAAAAAACCAAAAAGATCCGTAACTAAACTTCAGGATAATAATTTTTTACAATTATTTGAATAATTTCATATGGTGAAAACCATTTAAGCTTTTACTTTATAACCTTCTCAGCCTGTAAGTATGCATTGTTTTTTTGTAGTTCTACTAAATTAAAACACATCGTTTATCTCATTTGAATATGTATTTCCATCAGAGATGGGCATAATGCACTGTATTTTTAGTGCACTAATAATTTCACTATCACTATTCATTTAGTGGTAGTGCAATTTTTAATTCCACTACCACTAAAGGGTTAGTGGTAGTGAAAAATAATTTAGTGGTAGTGAAATTTCAATAGCACTACCACTAAATTTAGTGGTGTTTGAAAAAACTTGCACTAAATTAGTGGTATTTCATAAAAAATAGCACTAAAATAGTGCTATTTAGAAAAGTAATCAAATTTTATGAATATGTACTATATATTCTGGATTGTTGTTCCCTACTCACTTCAATAAACTTCATTATAGCTGGTATAATATTTATATGCATAGTGCTTTTTTTGGCTTCGCCAAATTTTAGTGGTAGTGCAAATTTTTTTTTGAAAAATCACTAAATTTAGTGGTAGTGCTATTAAAATTTCACTACCACTAAAATTTAGTGGTAGTGCAATTTTTTTCTAAATATCACTAAAGGGTTAGTGGTAGTGCAATTTATTTTTCACTACCACTAACCCTTTAGTGGTAGTGGAGTTAAAAATTGCACTACCACTAATTATTTGATTCTTAGTGCACTAAAAATTTAGTGCAATATGCCCAACCCTGATTTCTATAAATCCCCTAAAAATACACTTCACCTTGTGATTATGTTTATGGCTCTCAAAAGTATGCTTTAAATTTTATCTTTCATAATATTCATCAAATAAATATGGAAATATTGCTTGACCTAGATTTAAATAAGTTTTGAAACAAATTCAAATTACTTAAATATGCAATAGCCTCAGCTGGTCGTTGGTCATTGGTGGTGAATTTGGTGAGTGGATGACGACCACAATGTAACCTTTCTTGCTACCAAAAAGTAGAAAATTTACATATTTTCCTTAAAAAATATTCGATTTTCTGTTCATAAAATAAACGAAAATAGAAAAAAAAAGAAAAGAAAAAAATGCAAAAACGAACTCTCATTCCACCAACATGGAGTTTCTGGCTCAAAAGTCAACAACTTTAATCATAAAAATTCTAAAGCTAGTTGGTGTTTTTTTTTTTCGTTGTTTCATACTCTTTTCATATTCCATTTCATGTTTTATGGAAACAAAATGTTGGTTTCAATGGCAGTGGCAAAGTTTGTATGTGTGCCAGTGTGTTTTTTTTTTCTAGAAGAAATCCGGTATACCCTGGAAGCTGCATAAATAAAATATTATCTGAAAGCAAGAAAAAAAAACTAACTATAGCTAACTGGAAACGCGTATCACTAAAACATAAAACCTCAAAAGCGAAAAAAGACATGGCTAAGCGAATATTTTACGGTCAAAGCTGTAAAATTTACAAAAGCCAAAGGAAGCGTATTCAAGGGAAACACCAAAATGTTGAATAAAGGTGGCGACACACCCAAACACAAAAAGATGAGGTCTGTTGCGCAAGTTCTAGGCTTGGAATGATGAATATGTTGGGTATTTAAAATGCCAAAAAATTTTTCTGTGTAAGAGAGATCAGAGGAGGTGCCGGAAATGCTTTTCGTAATCATTTCAGAGGTTCCGAAAGACAAAATATGAGCCTTTTCAAGCAAAATTATAAAAGTAGGAAAAAAAAAAACATTTTGGAAAGGGCGGGTCTATGTAAAGCTTCCTACCCATTTCGATCTAAATCATCAAGAGCCCTTTTCGAACATGTTTAAATAAATACTAGCTCATTGTGAGTTGGAAAATAATCAAATCTGGTCTTGAATATTTATAGAGTTCATATTATTGGCTAATATCTCAAAAATCTAGGGCGAATGACCTCCTCTTGCTGTTTATCAAAATATGCACTTAAACCGAAAGTTATTGACATGATAAATGACATTTCATTAAAAAGCATTTTCAAGTAAAATTGTAAATAAATAGGAAAAAATTCCTTTTTGGAAAGGAGGACAGGCCTATGTGAAGCTTTCTACCCATTTCGATCTAAATCAGCAAGAGCCCTTTTTGAAAATTTTTAAATAAATACTAGGTTCATTTGGGTTGAAAAATAATCAAGTCTGGTCTTCAATATTTATAGAGGTCGTATCATTGACTTATATCTCAAAAATGCAAAGCAAATGACCTCCTCTTGCAGGATATCAAAATATGCACTTAAACCGAAAGTTATTGACATTTCATTAAAGTTTACTTTCTTTCCAAGAAATCCTTATAATAACAAGGCAACAAATTTAAAGTCAGAATTTTTAAACAGGCCTTAATGCCCAAGAAAAACAAGAAGCCATCCTTCCACCTCCCTCCCATTTTTCATGGCAAGGGTGTTGACTGTTAAACGTTCATTGAAACACGTTTTTCAAAACTAGTCTTTAGGGAAATGTTTAACTGCCATAATTGCATGACAAATGGTTGTATTATGTTAAATAATACATATAGACGATGAACAAGCAACACACACACACCCATATATTCTGACGTTCTACAATAAAGAAATGGCAGGGTTGTAAAAAAAGAGCTAACGGACCCCAAGTTTGCGTTTGACTTCTATGCCGCCCCCTTTTTTTCAAAGAACACACAAAAACCCCCTTTTATTTTCGTCTACGCAAAATACTCCTTTGATAACCTCTCCTCCCCCCAACCCTTGGTCTTGCATCCATTATGGCCAATACCATGGCTCATTGTATTGCAAATTTTGCAAATAAACCACTTAAAAGAGTTTTGTATATTTTGCATAATGTATACAAATTGCATTTCCCCCACACCCTCCCCCCCTCGATCTATCTACCTCTTGTTGCTATCCAAAACTGCTGGAGGAAATAAAGACAAGTTTAATGTTAAAAGGAACATTTTGCCAAAACCAAATGAAAGATGTTCGAAAAAGGGGGAAGATGGCAAAAACTTAGTTATTAAAAAGAATTTGAAATGTTACAAATTCTCAAAGGACTCAATGCAAAAGAGGAATAGGTAATTGACCTACTAGAGGTTGCTGGCAAGAAGGAAATTTTAATTGGGAATTTCTGTTTTTTTATAAAATTATTTATTTTTAGTGAATTGAAACCCAGGTAGAAAACCTTAAACATAATTATATTATTTGGCCTATCGGAAGATTTTTTCATTAATATATATGAACTAATCGAATAATACGCATTATTTTGCAAATTCAATGGTATTTTTCAAGCGCCTGTGAGTATGCCTCTATTTTTTTTTCTAATTCATATTTTTTATTTATATATTTTTCAATAAAATCATATATTCGTGATGGTTTCTTTTAAAAATAATAATAAAATAAATGAATAAAAAACAACAAAAATTTGTTTGTAGTAATATTATCTGTATGCTGTTGTTGTTCTAAAATAAGTTTGAAGTAGTATTAACTTACGTGTGATATTGATTTTGATCAATAGTGCTGTGTATGGTTGAAACATACCTGGAATTAAAAGAAAAAGGGGAAACACTTGTTAGATATCAATGCATAATTTTTGTACATATGGGTATAGATAGAAGAGAAAGTAAAGAAGAGCATATATAATTCTAAAAACAGCAAGAAATCTTTTTTGGAATCGAAATGAGATATTTTATTTTCACAAAAACCGCAGTGTAGTAATCATTTCGGGCGGCCCGAGGTCCAAGTGCCCTTCTTGTGTTATTCCCTGATTCAATATATACATTAAAACGACAAAAAAAATAATTCTCATCATACACCAAAGGGTGGATTTTTGGGGCCCCCCAAAAGTATGCTTTAGAAGTTTTAAATTCAAAACAACAACAAAATTATTTCACATCATACATCAAAGGGTGAATTGTGGGGCCACCCAAAAGTATGCCTTAGAAATTTTGTATTCCAATTCATAGATCTTAAGAGACCTACCCCGTGTTTATACTACCAATATGTAAACTGGCGTACATTTTTGTATAGATTTCTATCGGTTTTATGACCATGACCAAGCGTAATTTTTTAAAAGCTATAGAAAAGATTTATAAAAAGCCACATAAAATTCGAAAAAAGCACGGAATCTTTATTTGTATTGATAGAAATGTCCCTAAAATTTAATATTTAAAGGTTATTTCAAGTAAATATTGCCCGCAAATGGTCTTTCCGCATGGTCCAATTTTGCAATACTCTCTCCAATATTTCGACCAATATTACCTCTCGAAAGAATTCTTCAATATTTCCCACAAATGCGTCAATGGAAACGGACTCGTCTGTATAGATATGAGCTTTAACATAGCCCCATAAAAAAGTATAAGGGCGCTAAATGGCACTTTTCCGGCCGGAACGTGAAAAAAACGAACTCTCCTCTAAATAAGTCCATTGTTACGCGTGCTGTGTGGCATGTGGCACCGTCTCTTTAATTTGGGGCAAAAATAAAAAAAGAACAAAGTTGGATATGATCTTGCCCTCACCATTCACAGTTACTATTCGGAGCATCTGTGAAAAAGCGCGGTCCAATGATGCCACCACACCATAAACCGGACCAAACTGTGGCTGATAGCTTCTGTAATGCTTCTCGTTAATATTCACTCCAACATCGACAATTCTTCTCATTTACGTTTACATCGAACCAATAATATTTAAAACAGCCGAAAGGAAAGAGCTACTAAGTACTACTATAAAGTACTATATTAATAAATAATTTAATACTTTTTGGCGTTTGTGCATAATTTGAAATAATTGTTATCTATTGAATTTTTTAGCATACTTTTAGGCGCTCCCAGAAATCTTCAAAAGGTAAACGCTTTATAGTGTACATAAATAAATAAAATATATTTAAAGTATAGAGTAGTTACTTTTGAGATAGAAAATTGTTGAGAGCTCCTCAAAGTATGCCATAAACATTTAAACTATTAGGTATGAAAAATTCACTTTACACATCACTTTAACATCATGTGTAATTTAGCTTTAAACTGTTCCCAATACTGTTTTGCTATATTAAGGCCAATAATGTATGGCATATTTTTAGGCATATTTACTTTATTTCCCTTTCACAAGGACATTATCAAAAACAAATAAATTCTCTATCTCATCAAAAAAACATTGTTTAGTAGCAATAGCCACATATAAAGTGACTTTTCCCATAATTATATAGCATTTTATAGCATACTTTTAGGCGCTCCTAGAATCGTAATTCAAAAGACAAACGCGTTGTAGTATGGTATACATTAATATATAAAGTAAAGCATAGTGTAACGTCATGTGTAATCTAGCCTTAAGTTTACAAATCTGTTTTCCATAACGTTTTTTTTAATATTGAAACCAATAAACTATTGCATACTTTTAGGTATTTGTATAAAAAAATTAATATAACAAACTTAAATATATATTAAATTTTGTTGCCTTTGCACAAGGACATTCTCAAAAAACAACTCAATTCTCTCTGTCTCTTGAAGAAAATAAAACATTATTCAGTAGCACGTTCAATGGTTAACACTTGACTTTTGCTCTTTGTTGACTATGTAACATATCCCTAGTTACAGTTTTTCGCTCTTGTAAACACACAGACATGAAGCACACACACTCACATGTCCATGTGTACAAGTACGTAGCCCTGTACATGAAAGTACTTGATTATTTGGGCGTGTTAACTACCGTTAACAAAAACCATACTCAAGTACTTTTTGCAACGTTTTCACCCTGGCCTCTGCTGGTCTCACACATACACACACACGCACACATTGCTCTAATCTACTTGTACTTGGGGCAAGGATGTTGTTGGTTTGTTTGTTTGTGTGCCATTATAAAGAATAATATTTTTGCTAGCGTTGGCAATTTTTCTCGCCCCTTCCCTAACCCTATTGGTAATCATTTTTGTTATTATCATTATTATTTAGAAAAAGTAAAAAACACATTTTACAAATGTGTTTTGTTGGCGGGTGTTTTGCGATTTTCCATTTTCTCGGGTCTGTGGCACTTAGTGCAGCCAAGACCATAATACATTTATTTTTATCTCTCTGTGAGTGTATACGTATTTTGTTAATTAAATTTATTTCCAGCATTCTCAAGGATAGAAAATTTAAGAAAAGTGCTGCTTCATGTTTGAAACAAAAGCCAAAGCGAAAAAAAAACAACTAGGCGAAGGGGTAAATTGCGAACTGCAGCAAGAATTTATATGTATTTGTGTGGAGTTTGTTGGTCTGAGCAGTTTTTCTAGTCGGTATGCGCGCGTGTGTGTGCGTCGGTATTTACGCCTGTAAATGCTGTTAAAAGTTATGCCAAAAAACAAAGTGTGTTAATGCTGTATTAAGCACCAGCCAGCCAACCAAACCCCCTTAAGCGTAAACTAGGTCAAAGGAGAGCGCCGGAAAACAGCATGCTAGCATGAATAGAAACAAAAAGAATGCATGGCATTAAATTGAATTTAAATGCTGAATATTTAAATAAAATGTTGCATACTTTTTTTGGGAGGGAGGGGAGGAGCATAACTAACAACAAATTAATTGCAATGCAATTTAAGGCTGAGTACAGGTTTTTGTTTCGGTTTTGCCAGGTGGCCCAGAACTGGAAATGGAAATTTAAATATTTAAAATACTTTAAAAAATTATTGAATAGAAGGGAATTTTTCAGTAGTTTAAGATATATGGACTCAAAACTATTCGGTTAGAGGATGAGTAGTTACAAATTAAGTTTAACTACCTCACTCGGAGGACCTTTCGATCCATTGTGATAATCCTGCGTTGAAAGAAATGAAAGAAGAAATAAATGTTGAGAACGATGAAATGTGATAGATCTCGGTAGAGAAGTAGAAAGAGGGTTCATGAAATTTTACTCAAATGTATATTATGTCTGCAGGACTTTTGGTATTAAAAATGGACCATGTAGCCTATTTTCGGAATTTGGATGATTTTAGCTATATTATTTATCGGAATTGTTTCAAATTTGTTATTTGAAGTTCCCAACAGATACTACAGCCTATGACAGAAAATTTTCTGTGCAGGTCCACGTCTTCGTATAAGCCCCATATAGCGGATCCTCCTGATATTCGGTATTTTGATGATTTTAGCGATATTATTCAGTGGAATTGTTTCGAATTTTTTATTTGAAGTTCGTAATGGATAATACAGCCTAAGACAGAAAATTGTCTGTGCAGGTCCATGTCTTCGTGCCCCATATAACTGCACCTCCCTATATTCGGTATTTTAGTGATTTTAGCGACATTATTCACCTATTTGTTTCTCTTCAAGTTTCGCATTTGAATACTGTAAAGGCTTATAACAAAAGTTGCCTATGCAAGTCCACGTCGTCGTATAGGCCCTATGTATTCTGAATTTTTAAGATTTTAACAGAATTTTTAACGGATTTTATTTATTATTTTTTTAATTGTCAAATTAGTTCCAAATGGTAGAGGGTATTCAAAGTCCGGCCCTGCCGAATTTAAACATTTTATTTTTTTTTTTTTTTGTAAAAAGGAATATTTTTTTTGTTACTATTAAAATATCTTTTTTATGACTTTTTTAAATTTAACCTATTGGGCGCCATCTCAATATACATGGAACTCAAATATTTTTGGAGTTTTTTCTTTTGTATAAAGGAATATTTTTATTGTTATTATTAAAATATCTTTTTATGATTTTCTTTTATATTTACCCTACGTTGGGCGCCATTTCAATATAAGAAATGTCCAAGGAACTCAAATATTTTTCAGGAAAAAGGAATATTCTTATTCCTATGACCAAAATATATTATTTCGACTTTTTGAAATTTACCCCACTTTTGGAAATTTAACCCAGTTTTATGCCATCTCAATATTATAAATGTACATGGAACTCACATTTTTTTGGGATTTTTACTGTAAAAAGAATATTCTTGTTATCGAAATACTATTTTTATGACATTTTGAAAATTATAACACGTTGAGCGTCATTTCAATATAGCCAATTTTGATGTTAAGATTCATTATTTTCAGTCTTTGGCCCTAAAAAGGAATATTTTTATTATTAAAATATCTTTTTATGTCTTTATGAAATCTGCCCCGCGTTGGGCGCCATCGGAATATTACAAATGTGCATGAAATTCAAATATTTTTGGGATTTTTTCCGGGATTTTATTAAAATATCGTTTTTATGACTTTTTGAAATTTACCCCACGTTGGGCGCCATCTCAATGTAACAAATGGAACTCAAAAAATGTTGGAATTTCTCCGGAAAATTGAATATTTTTATTGGATTTAATAGTTTTCCAATTCCGAAGTTTCTTCAAGTTTGTTTCTATTGAGGCTAAGGATTGTCTTTTAAAACAAAGAATATTATTAATATAGCACACTTCTAGGAGTAAGTTGTCTTTTTATTTGATTTATAAACTTTCTTCTATAATTTCATTCCTACAAATATCTCTATATCCTTGTAATTTGTTATATCCCCTCCACTCATGGTTGACTTCAATTTGGCGGTTTTTGTCGCTGCATCCCTTACAAGCCTTATTATTTTTCATTG